AAATATTTAAAAAATGTCTATGATAGATAAATAAGTCATATTTAGGACATGTACTTTAAAAAAAAAGTTAGGTTCAAACCTACTAAATTATAATATAACATAGTCTGACTTAACTTATTTTTATCTTTAATCGTAAACATAGTTATAAAAGTTTGTAAAAAATAATTATGATATATATTTATACTTTTAAAAGTTATATGTAAAATTTTTAACATTATAAATATATAAATAATTATTGCCCCCACTATCTAAAATTTCTGGATCCGTCACTAGTATATATATATAATTAAATCTGTCATTTTATATTTATCAACTAATTTAATTGAATAGTTTTGATTTAATTAACCAGGTTTTACGAGTTTTCAGCTTTGTAACTTTAATAACAATTTAAAAAAATAATTTACATTGAGTATGTTTAATTAAACTCTTATTATTTTTCAGAAAACAATTATGGAAGTGAGATGTGTTTCCAGTCAAACTACCTGTTTTATTTGAAGTAAAACGTGTTTCTTTACGTAATTGACCTTACACAATTGATGATGTTCACCATCAGGTCATTGTGTCTGGGGCACACAACAAAGAGATCCTTCCTAATTAGTAAAAACAGCAAGAGATCATGATGATAAGCCACTTTATTTTATTCGTTTTACATTTTTCTTCCCAAGTAGAAAATTTTAACTTACGGTTTGTGCTAAGCAGATGCATTATCTTTGGAGGAAGCCTTCTAGTTTTGACCATGACAACTAATTTATCTCTTTTTTCTAGAATTCATAAAGAAGAAAAAGTTCTATCAGAGGTGACCTTCTGGGACTTGAATTACTTGTTATGCTTTAGGTTTGGGAATTGTGATTTAATTGATATCCTTTCAACTTTGTGCAATGTTTATTGTTCAGATTGGGAACTTTGAAAAGCAGTTATTGGCATTGATCCATTCCAAAGGCCTTTTGCACTCTGATGCTCAAGACTTGTACCGCAAGGTCAGGTCTAGTTATGAGAGAATCATCTTGAGTAATCACACGCTTTTAGAACTTCAGGATGTTGAATATTCTTTATGGAAGCTGCACTATAAGCATATTGATGAATTTCGCAAAATAATAAAGAAAAATTCTGGTAATATGAAGAGCAAAAAATCAGGAACGGTACAAAATCATGTTGTGCAGAGAGACAATGACAATTATTCAAAGTTATTTAAGATATTTCTGACAGAAGCTATCGAGTTTTACCAAACTCTGATCGTAAAACTCAGAAAACATTATGGAGTCCCAATAGAGGCTTTGTTTTATAGAAAGGGTTGGATCACTACTTATGTTGAACCAGATGTCATGCAGAAATGTCAATATTTATGCCATCGCTGCTTAGTTTGTATGGGGGATCTCGCCAGGTATAAACAACAATGTGAAAACCCTGATACTCAAAATCATAATTGGTCAGTTGCTGCCACACATTATTTGGAAGCAACAAGGATTTGGCCAGACAGTGGTAACCCACAAAATCAGGTAAATGTTTCTTAATTCTTATCTATAGCAGTGTTGCAAAAGAGAAACTCTGATCCTCTATTCATATTATTTTTATTTTTTTCAAATGATGGTAACCTTGTTTATTTGCAGTTGGCTGTACTGGCAACATATATTGGTGATGAATTCCTTGCTCTGTACCACTGCGTAAGAAGTTTAGCTGTTAAAGAACCTTTTCCTGATGCCTGGAACAATCTTATCTTGTTGTTTGAAAAGGTAACATGATATTGAGGCTCTTTAATAGACTTCAATTAATTCTATCTATATGTTTAGTGTTTCTAAGCCTCTTATACTTTCATCTCCTCAAGTGTCTCTAATGATTTTGCAGAACAGGTCATCTCCTCTGGAATATGTTTCCAGCAAAGTCTCTTTAGATTTCTTGAAACCTTTTCAAAAAATTGGTGAAGAGACCAAAGCACAAGGGAAAGATGATAGCTCAAACCGCAACAAGTTTGAAGGCGAAAGTAATCATTTTACAAAGTTATGGTCTCTTATGGTCAGAACTATAAGTTTCCTTTTCATATCGTCGAGGTATATATCGAATTTTTTTTTAATAATTTTCTTGGCATTTTGTCTTGCCTTTTTACCGTTTGAATTTCCCTCTTGTTGTCAAATTAAGCCATGAATATTTACAACATCCTTGACTAGTATCTCTTCTTGAGCACATCTGCTGAGTTTACAGTTGATACTAATTTTTTGCTGCCTCAAAGCAGTTAATATTTACATTTCCTTCTGTGTGGATACATTTTATGTTGTGAGCATGATATAAAAGGTTTTTTACACCTTCTCAACCTCAAAAGGAAGATAGTGATGATAAGCTTCCAATTACACTGACTATTGCTGCGTGCATGTAACTTACAAAGAAAAGGGAGAAAGTAAAATAAGTACTTTCATCGTTAGCAGTCCAAAATATTTAGAATTATGAGCTGGTTCAGAGGTTTAGAGAAGAAACTGATTCTGAGTGTGTATCTTCTAAAACACTAAACAGTTAAATTGTACAGATGAATGAATTTCACAGTTGACTGTGAGGGAAAAAAAACTCAAAACTCTAATTCACAGCTCTGAAGTTTTTAATGATAGTGCAAACATTAAAATAATTCATTTTTCAATATTATCTATCATTTGTTTTGGGTGAAGTAATATTTCTAATACCACTAGATGCATTTTAGCTGCATTCTTTGAAGCGACTTTGTTCACTTGGTAGCAAGACTTCTAGCAATTTCTAGAGTTTTAGGTCATCTGTTCGTGTACGTCAATACTTGTTAGATGCAGGAAGTTGAACGTGTTCACTATTAACATAAATTATATTAAGGATAAAACATAGACATTGGAGTGTATATTATGCTAGTATTTCGTAGTGTGTATTTATTCAAGCATAGACTGTGCCAGGCCAAATTGTTCAACACAACAATTTCCTCGTATAATGTAGATTAATGTGTACTTGTAGTTCATTTTATGTGTTCTGATGTTGTTTACCCCTTATCTCCTGAAGCAGTTTAGAGGAATTCTCTAATGCGTTGGCATCTACAATTGAAGAGTTCGATAAAAGGATGGAGCTAGATGATATAGAACTAAAGACGATGTTGGAATCCTATAGTCAAATGGACTTAGCCAGAAGAGGTCCTTTCCGAGGCATACAAGTAGTTTCTATTCTCATATTTTCCCTCACAAATTTAATTGAAAAACTTGGAAAAAATAAATCAGAAGACAAAAATGATAGGCAGTTGATGCAGCTGGCATTAATTGCTTCATTCAGTCTCATGGGCCGTTTCACTGAAAGATGCCTAAAGGCTAGCTCTTTGTATCATTGCCCCTTGTTACCCTCGGTGCTTGTTTTTGTGGAGTGGTGTTCAAGCATACATGGAGTATGTGCAAGTGCAACCGATCAAAATAGCATAAGAGCTATTTCTTATTTTTTTGATGTGTTTGTTGAACTTCTAAATCAACTAAATAATGACAGAAAGGGAACCGCGAAGCATATTGATATAACTCCTCTATGGGAGGATTATGAGTTGAGGGGCTTTGTGCCTATAGCTTGTTCACATCTCTCATTGGATTTCTGTGGTAATCGGGAACACATAGACAATTTTGAAAGTGGAACTGAATTGCGTGCTGAGCGCATCAGAGAAGCAGCAATGAAGATATCAAGCAGATCAAATGATTGGCAGGAGTGGATTACATGCGATATATTAGGAAATAAATTTTACGTAGCTAGAACAGATAAAGATCCTGACAAGAAAGAAACAGAAAATGTGGAGTCCAACTGCAATAGTACAAAATTGGAAGAGCCTAATCAGCAAACCAACAAAGACACAGGAGAACATATTAAATGGATGAAAGAGGAAAGTCCAAGCAGCTCCAGCACCAATGGAAAATCTTCTGTAGTGGAAGAAGAAGAAGTTATTTTATTCAGGCCTCTCACAAGGTACAATTCAGCCCCATCACATCCCTCTATCTCAATTAATGAGCAGATGTCACCAAAAGACAAGGACAACCAAAGCTTATCATCCGATGATTGTTTGCGCCGTGCTAGTTCTCTTCTTATGGCACAAAACCCATCTCAAACTCTAAGTGACCCATGGGAATTCCATGGCAGCATTATGGATTTCAGGAGTGACAAATCATTCAAACAGCAAGAGCCTTCATCAAAGGAATCCAATGAACACACTGTATCAGAAGCCCCAATCTCTGCTGGCCCTCCTTCTCTCAATGCTTGGGTCCTTAATAGAGGAGGCTTGAGCAACAACAGGAATAATGGGACAAATGGCCTTACTGAGCACAGGTTGCAGCCCATTGAGGAAATAGCTTCTTCATCTCTGGCAAGTCTTTCCATCAATAAAACTGAGAATTCAGTCACAAGTTCAGTGGATGAGTCTTTAAACTTCCATTCCTCTTCTGCTACATATTCCCTTCCAGTACCTTCTGCTCCATTACTTCCTGATAATGCTGCATGGTTTACTGATGCACAACCTAGTTTATCTTCTCCATTATTTCAAGACAACACAGTACCAAAAAGTGGTTATGCAGATTGGAGTGCTACTTACAGACCACAAGGATATGATCCTAGATTTCCTGTTCTTTCTAGTGGATACCCACCACCTGGCAGAATGACTTCTTCCGAATGGCTGCGTTGGTACAGAGAGAATTATAAACCACAAAGGGTCAACAATTACATGCAACCTACTCATTTGAATATGCCTGGTCCTGGAAATCATGTGAACTTCCTCTATCATGATGCTTACAGGTTTGGTCAATTTGATAGATGGCGCAACCCTTTGTCATCTAACCAATATACATATATGGACCCTCCAGGTCCCCCACCATTGCAGCCAGGTTTTTTGTCTGGTGCAGGTGAGCGCAAAGCCAGTGGCTACAACAATTTTCAAAGACCAAGCCCTTATGGGTGTGGTGCAGTGACAGACCTGAGAAGTGAGCCACAGTCTCTGCTAGAGTCTCTGAAGGAGAAGGAATGGAGACTCCAGCCAGATCCTAATGTTAGAGGGCCTACATTCATGGGAAATTAAAACTTCTATCTGAAACTTTTGTTTCATGGACCATTTCAGAGTTGTACACATTTTTCTGCACTTGGGTTCCATACAAAATATCAAATAGTATAGATGTCTGCACATATCATGCATAGAGATGTGAATCATTAGGGTCAATCTAATGATAAGAAGTTGGATTAATATGTACAAGATCCTTTATTCAAATCCTGTTGATATCATTATAATTCTTATGGATAAAAAAAAAATATATGCATATAGATGTTTTAGTCATTCCGGAATTAATGAGGAATTCTGAAGAATGTGGATGAAGTATCCTCCATCCTCAAGTATTAGAAATCAATTTAGTCCTTGAATGTTGATAAAAGACAAAATTGATGAATATTCAGTACTTGTTAAATTACTGATATAGTTTTACTAATTTAGGGACTACTTATAAAAAGGAGTGATATTTCGGAGACCAAATTGACAATTTATTCAAGATGAAATCCTCATTCTTAGGACTTAGAGGTGGGACACCCGATTTCTAAAATAAGTTTTCTAGCCATGCTTGCTGATATATATGAGATTATCCATGGTGAGAAGTAATTGTAAAGACATATTTGTTGCCAGATTTTATGGTTGAGTATGTTATATCCAGAAAAATTACTGCTTAGGAAAGCCAAGTAAAAGTTGGTTACTATTAGAATTTTAACCATTGTGGTTCGGCTTCCGACGTTTTGTTTTATTTATTTATTTTTAACAAGAGAGGTTTGCATAAAATAAAAGGGAGCTCAATCTTTGGCAACTGCAAAAAGAAATTGAAAATGAAAAGTCTAAAAGCTGGAAATGTAAGAAGGAAAGCAGAAATTTGGAGCGTCTAGGTTTGTTTGGAAATACTATCATAGGTCAAACCATTTATCCTCCGATATTTTAGCTCCTGCCTCCTGGTGTGATTGCGCATACCATCTCTTTTTGTGAGTTTATACTTTAACCTGTTCTGCATCTTTTTAGGCTGTTGTGACCCTTTTTTTAATTCCATTTTTGTAACTGGGTTTTGATTATTGTTTTTCCTATTTCAGGGTCCTAATTGGATTGTTTTAGACAAATAATAATATATACACCTTATTGCAGCACAACATGAAAATCGAATCTTGTTGATGAGAGAATCAAGAGCCTTATCAAATATTATAATGACCACTTATTCTAATATATTTATTTGTAATATGTAACTTAAATAACTTTTATAATATATTATTAATTTTAAATTATATATTTAATAATATAATATATATATATATATGTAAATATTATATATTTTATTTTGTGATATTAATTACAAGTATATTATATATATATATATTATTTATATTTTTAATTTGTATTAATATACAATTTAACATGTAACTTTTTCATACATTTCTTTATACAAAATAAAAATAAAGATAATTTTAAATAAGATGATTTAACATACAATATGAATTTATTGAAATTTATAAGTATAAAATATTTTCAACATGAATATGTTTTTTTAAAAAAATTAATAGAAACAGGATCATGTGGTTCAATTTGTAACCCATCGATTCATTCTTTAATTCATCTCAATATCTAATCGTTTTGATGATCAGTCCAAATTTTAAAACTATTGATAGTTCTTTTAGAGAAATTCATCAAGATATAGAAACTAATCAAATAGTTTGACCCATATAGTAATTTTCTAAGTATATCATTGGACTCTTTGTTTAAGTTTACAAAAAATATTTTTTAATGAAATAAGTAGTTCTTAACTTTTGTGATGTGTTTGTCTAAACTATTTATTTTTTTAAAAACATTTTTTTTCTTCTAATAAGTAACTCCTATCTGTCTTTTAAAAAATTATTTTCTTTAGAATACATTTTTTAATTTTAAAGAGTCTGATTTATCGTCACTTTGCCTTGTATCAAAGGCGTCTCCTAGTTTCAACCTGATTGGGTATCTTATATTACATACAATCTTATAGAAAAAAGAAAAAGCTATTGTCCAAGGTTTTTGACTAAGCCACCCTCATATAATGCACACATGTTAGAAATTTTAGTGATCTTGTTTCTCATCGAAATATTTCAAGATTTTATAAATTATTTTGTGTTTTGAACATGCGAACAAATGAGTTAGAAGTATGGGTCAAGGGAGCTTGGTTAGGAGGGCACATTCATCGATCGTAGTTCCAAATTAGTTTGTGATTTGTCATGATAGTCTACAGTTACAATACTGAAGGTCTAACAATTATAGGTCTGCAATAACACTAGGAGAAAATTAGGGGCAATATCTAGGACGAGAACAATTTACAATTTGAAACACTTATTTCCTACATAAATAAATTGTCAACCTCCTAGAAAATGAGACACTTAGGGGGGTGTATTGGATTAGGATTTTAAAGGACTTTTTTAGGGGGGTGTATTGGATTAGGATTTTAAAGGACTTTTTTAGTAAAAAAAAATCCTGCAGATTTTAAAAGACTTTGCAGGATTTTCAAGACTTTTAAGATTTTGCAGGATTCTATAAGATTTAAAATAAGGATTTTAATGGATTCTATAAGACTTTTAAATCAAGATTTTAATGGATTTTGTGAGATTTTATGGAGTTTTGACATTTGATAAGATTTAAAAAAAATTCATACATTCAAATTTAAAAAGAGTCAAAGATAAAAATAATTAAAAAAACAATAATGTCTAGATAAATAATAATAATAATTCTCCATAATATTCTATCAACTTTTTATAGCATCCACTATCAATTGTAACAATTCATTGGAATCCTCCTTGGTCCAAGCTTCATAGTTTTCTTTCTCTTTTCCTTTTTCTTTATTATTTCCATGTGAATCTCCCATTTGAATTACTAAAACAATATATGTTGAAAACTAGTTATATAAATAATTATGGATAAGAGACAAAATCAATAAAATTATATTATTATTTTTAGAAGCACACCAATTATACAAGATCGAATATATCTTGGCTATCCAAATGGATCAAATATCTCAATCATTATAAAAAAAAT